AATAGGCTTAGTACACATATGTTTCTTATATAATGACCTCTTAATGAGAAATATTTGATCAATGCGGCTTTATTTATGATATTTTCACTATGTTATAATGTATTAGAGTGAAGTATTCATTAGACATCCAGGAAATTTGTTCCTTGTTGATGACTGGCATATAAACACCATTTAACTCAGGACCTGCTGTTTCTCACTCCAGTGTGTAGTAGACGTTCACTCCACTGACCTGTTGCATGCCATGTATCTGAAGGGCCGTGCAGGTATTTCAGCCATGTAGGTGTTTAAATCAAAGCCGGCCTGAGCCGTCAGCGAGGGAGGAGTTGTTGTGGGACGCATTTCGAGGGGTAGGGCCTGTGTTTGAAATATGGTTGGTAGAGTGCCTGTTATCTTTTCTCCTCGGCATCAAGCGTCCAGCGCCGGTGTGTCATCAGTTACAGCCCAGAGCTGGCACTGGCTCAAAGTGTGTGGGGTGGGGGGAGAGATGCTAGGAAATGCAATCCATATGGTGGCACTATAAAACCTAGCACATCCATATCCATAGTCCAAGATCATCGCTGCACGCTTCAATAAACCATCAAGTCAATAACTCTCAATTCTTCTCAGCGGCCACGGTGGTCCACACAACAGAAGACTTCTCCAGAGCACAAGGTGACCAGGACCGGGTGATTATAAAGGGTATGTTTCTTTTGCTGTAAATATTTTATCCCAGTTCATTATTATTAGGTGTGATTAATTACATTCAGTAATGTCACAATGCCAGTTGAGTAGTAACAATAAGTCAAGGTGAGTGGAATTATCAAACCCAAGTGAATATATATTGATTATTGATGATTACCCCATTTCTAGACACAATCACTCATTTTAATCTTCATTGTCTTATTCCATTGGTGGATAACTTTGCGAAATCCAAAAAAGCCAAATTCAAGACAATTTGAGGGTGAGTGGACTTACCAAAACTAGGCAAAAAAATTCTATCTTTGGCAAATGTATCTACTATTTCTCACTTCGAAATGATTATATAACAAATATAAGACTATTACACTCATTTCTAGACCTTTTTTCACTCATTTTAATCTTCATTGTCTTGTTCTGTTGGTCTTGTTCTGTTGGTCTTGTTCTGTTGGTGGATATCTTTGCGTATTTCAATCACTGATTTCTACAAAGCTAAATTCAAGCTTGAAATGAGTAAAAATGCATAGAAATAGGCTTAATATTCTTATATTTGTTACTTCATAATAAAAAATTATATTAGAAACATTTTACTTTATTTAAGATATATGTATTCTATCCCATTTCTTTATACTTTTTATTACATTAAGTAAAGTCATAATGTCAGTTAACAGTAAGTCAAGGCGTGCGGACTTACCAAACCTAGGCAAAAAATTATATTACCAAGTGATAATATCTTGAATAAAGACAGATTTATTTAATATTTCTCATTATTTAATGATTATAAAACAAATAAAAGACTATTAAGCCAATTTTAGGACATTTCTACTCATTTTAACCTTGAAATTTTATTCTGTTAGCATAGTTCAAGTTCTGTTAGCATAGTTCTAATGCATAGTTCAAGCATTTACTGCTAGAAAGACAATTTCAAGCTCAAAAATGTGTAGAAATAAATTTAATAAACTTCTATTTGCTATGTAAGAGCATCATAATGAGAAATATTACACCAATCTAACTGTATTTAAGATATATTTATTATATTGTATCACATGTCAGCTTGTTCTATTGGCTGATAACTTTGTTTATTTCAAGAGTTTACGTCTTGAAGCCAAAGTCGCGTTTGAAATAGGTTTTATACACTTAGATGTGTTATCTCGTATTGAGAAATATTAGATGAATCTGATTTCAGAAAAATGCATTGTATCACATTATTATGTGTGAGGAATTACTTTAAGTCATATTATAAAGTCAAAGCAAGTAGAGTTGTCATTTTTTAAAGATTATAACACATGAATGACTACTTCTTCTACTTCTTTTCCTTCTTCTTCAAAGGAGGTCCTGTTGGATTTGATATGAAGATCCTGTGTCATGTAATATTCCTGCTCATGCTGGGAGCCATTTATTGCCAGAACAACCGAAATGCCAAACCCAGCGGCAGAGCAGCTAAAAAACCCAGCAGTCCGTCTGCAGAGGTCGGCCCAGACGATGACTCTGCACCAAGTTCTGGCAAAGACACACGTGCGGGGAACCAGCAGACAGCATCTGCTAACAAGCCGGCCGACGACATGAAGCTGCACCTCCTGAAGAACACTCCAGCCACGTGCAATGACGGCACTGCGGCTGGGTGAGAGCACGAGATCGTCAGAGCTTCTTCACCTCATTCTTAAAGCAGGGTGGTGTGACGTGAAGCAGAGAGCCGTTACAGATAGCACCGTGTTTTATTCCTCTTATTCCACAGAAATTTTTCAAAGCAATTTTTATATTTATTAAAAAGCAACATGGTGTACTTTTTATCCATTTATGGTTACATTTAATGATGTGGAATATCCACAAAACAAGTTATCACTTGCATTATAGCAGCTATAAACAGTCATTCCCTCATCAGCCTCTGTTGAAGTTTAGTAAGAAAAAAAAAAACGCAGCTTAACATGTTACAGAGAAACCATAAAGCGCAAAGTTACAGTTCAGTTACAGTTTAGTGATGCACACTGATATATTTTTTAAATTAAACATACTGTATTTATTATATAAAACAAACTAATAAGAACAGATATGTATAAATGTTGCATGACAAATAGACTCTATTATGAAAACGTCCTGATATGGCCATGACCTGAGCATGTCCTAGGCTCATCCGTAACCTCTTCCTATTCTATCCCATTCTATATTTATTTTCCATCCACAGGTTTTACCTAAAGGAGTTCAAAGGAAGCAAGAGGTGGCTGATATTTTTGGAGGGTGAGTATTTAAAACGGGGTTAATTTTGTCAAGGGGCCGTCAGCGGGCTTAAATGCTCTGCTCGGCGTTATTTTGACTGCTGCTCATCTTCTTGGAGGCGTGCTCTTTTTTTGTTGTTTTTTTGGACTGTGTGACGCCGTGTTGCTTCACTTGCATTACATGTACGATTGATGGTGTCAGCACGGGGCAAGAAAAGAAACCCACTATGTAGCTGGATTGGAAAACAATAATAAACCTGCTGAGGCTCTGTAGTGGGAGAGTATAACTGTATTTTTGAGAGGAATTCTTTACTCAGTTAAAAAATGCAATTCCTCATATAAATAAATCCATTGGTAAAAGTTGAAGTTTCAAATTCTTCACTTGTGTTAAAGTAGAAAAGTATAAACAACGTCTGTGACATGAAAGATATTATATATTGCTATTATATATATATATATATATATTATTTGGCATCTAAATGCAGAGAGACGGTTAGAAAGTCGTTTTCATTCTTAGCTTCACGGTTTAGCAGGTTAGATGTTTGTTATTTTGTTCTTTCTTATGAACAAGCACACGGCAGACATTTTGTTTTCTTATTTAGTTGCTGTTTCAGTATGGAAGATTATGCTATAAACAGAAGGATTTCTTCTTTTTTAGCTTTTTATACAATTATCTGACACATCTAAAACTACAACAGTCACATAGCACTATCTATGTTGAAAAAAAAAAAAAACACCACATATCTTTGGTATGAAAAAGAGGCAAAAGTTAGCATAGACCTCTGTGGGTTAAAGTAAAAGTAGAAAAAAGATTCACATGTCCGATTTTAGTTACTGATGGTAAATTAGTTCCACTTTCACTAAGGAACCAAGGCAGTGGAATAACATTAGCTAAGGCTAACAACAGCTTTATTCCTAATCTGTCAAATGTTAGCTAGTATGATAATAACTAGCTGAATGCTAATAGCTAGCTCCCGCACTAAATACAAAGTGTGTGTAGCAGCAGATATGCAGCAGTGATGGGTATTAGGTCTCATTCTCACTAGAAGAATGTAAGCAGAGATTTTTCTTTGAAAAAAGTATTAGGTGAAGGTTAGGTTTAAATGCAAAAAAAAAGTAAGCACAATTCATTTCTAACAAACAGTGAAATGATAACACTAATTCAATACATTATGAGTTTAATTTTATACTCAGGAAGACTTTATACTCCTAAACCTTCGTTTAGTGATGTGAGAATTAACACTCTTACACATTTCTGCACCAGTCATGCCTCTCGCTGCTGCTTTTACAGCATGGCCTAGTGCAGGTGGTCCATACCTCGAGAGCCTGAACAGCAGCCTAACGGGGCTGCCCTAGTCAAACCGGATGTCCGGCTAATATTAGTGAATTATTTTTAGGTGGTTGGTGCTGTTACAACAAAGAGTCCTGTGATTCCAGATATAAAAATATCCCTCGCCTGATGAGCTCAACTGACTGGCCACAGACGCGCAAAGGTAGGCTGCTGTCTATCACTTCCTGTAGCACTAACATGACATGCCAACGCTCTCTCTCTCTCGCTTGCTTTCGCTTTTAAGTGCCCGAGGCTTGAATCTGTGTGATGTTTTGGGGGGTTTTTTTAGGAACTGGAATCCTGTCTTCACAAGCTGATGAGAATCCACACTGGTATAATTCCAACATTGTGTAAGTGCATCAAAAGTGTAACAGGGAAACCAAAAGTGTAACAGCAAAACAAATCTGATATTTAATGTAATTTTCTGTGTTTTGTGACAAGGTTTGTCCCCTACTGCTCCAGTGATGTGTGGAGTGGTAACAAACCAGCAGCAAAGACCAAACAGGCAAAAGAAACAGGTGACACTCTATCTTCTATTAGTACATGGATATAAGTTTGCTTAAAGCTGTATTGATTTGAATGTTTTATTACAAATATCCAATTAGGGGAGTAAAATATACTCTAAACCATGGGTTCTCAACCATTTTTTTGGCCAATGATACCATTTTAAGGGCACAAAATTCTCACGACCACTCCACCACCACCACCCCAACAATGCCTACAATTAGTTCAAATTAGTTGTACAAATATACGATTTTGTACAAGTAATAGTACAACTCGGGTCCCTGGAGGACTAGTGGTTAGGCCTCAGCGCTCTCACCACCGCACCACCGGTTCGATTCTAGGCCAGGGAACCACACGACAGCGTGCACAGATAGTGTGCGTTCTGAGATGCTTTTCTGCTCACCACGGTTGTAAAGAGTGGTTATATGAGTTACCTTAGCCTTCCTGTCAACGCAAATGAGTCTGGCCATTCTCCTCTGATCTCTCTCATCAACAAGGCGTTTCCGCCAGCAGCAGAACTGTTTACATCCATGCAACAGTCAAAGTCACTGAGATGTTTGATTTGAACATTAACTGAAGATTTTGACCGGTATCTGCATCATTTATGCTTTTTATGTTTGTGTCTGCTCCATGTCAGAGTACTCCTTCATGGGATCTGTGATCATCCGGGAGCTGATCAAAGAGCTTGCAACAAAAGGACTGAAACAGGCCAAAGTGGTGATGCTGGCTGGAACGAGGTAATGTGTAAGGAATAAAACACAATGGGAAATGCTGTTATAGAAAAAATAATCTGACACACGGTTTTTAATCTGTTTATGTGGAGCATCCTCCATACAAGCCCATCCCAACGGGTTGTTACTATTGAAACTGTAACATATTAGAATGAGCACACTTATATAAACTCGTGACAATCAGAATCAAGAATTCAACAGTGCTGTGGTAATTTTTAATTAAATTAGATGGCTTATCAAAGTGGGAGTTATGTCTAGGATCGTGTCTTGTTAAGCTTGGTAAGGCCAAGATATGTATCAGTAGCCACTCATTATAACAGTCAAGATACATTTAGATCTCAATAACTGGAAACAATGGACACAGAGGCACTGGGTCAGAGGGCTTAAACACTTTCTCCATGTATGGACCAGCTCCTTGCCGGCACCATCCGAGCAGCACACATAACCCTGGCAGGAGCTCTATTTTCAGCCCATGCTGTCGTCCGCCATGAAGATGTATACCGCTATGACATAATATCTATGTATATCCCTCCACAATGGGATGCTGAGTTCTGAAGATTCTTCCCAGATTAGTGGCATGTTTGGTCGGCCAAAAAAAGAATGCACAGCCATGCACACGGTTATCACACCAATGAGACATCCCATGTTTTTTTCTATCCAAGTCAGGTTTATTTTGGCTGCATTTTTAGGGATAGAAAGGGCTAAAATGTGTTTGCTCCATCTTGCGTGCAGTGCTGGAGGTACAGGTGTGATGCTGAACATCGAGAAGGTGGCCAGTCAGCTGGAGCAGCTCGGTGCAGATGTGCAGGTTCGAGGCTTGGTTGATTCCGGATGGTTTCTGGAGAGCAAGCAGCAAAAGACCCAAGAGTGTCCAGACAGTCTCTCTTGCACTCCAGTTGATGCTATCAAGAAAGGGTTGCGGTAAATTCAAATGCTCTCGTATAAAGTGTTTTCATAATGCTTACACTTTCACACATCAGTCATCTTTTTAAATTAGAGAATAACTCATTTTTTCTCCACAGAATGTGGAATGGAGTTATTCCAGAGAAGTGTAAGCAGCACTACAAGCGAGGCGAGGAGTGGCAATGCTTTTTCGGACACAAGCTTTACTCCTTCTTGAGCTGTGAGTTTGTGTACAATCACTGGGCCAGGGACTGGGCTTGAATTGAGAACTCCATATAGAATATTTAAGGGATTCCTCTGATTTAAGGGACAAATCAGTGAATTATTTTATGCTGCTAGATGGAAGTGTACACCAATTTTTCCGTAATGTTATTGTTCATTATTGTGGTCAGTAGGTTTTAACAGGTATTTAAAATGTCAGGCTTATTTCAGGCTTTCTTGCAGCAATGAATCAGATCAGATGAAATTTAAAATCTGTTCTGTTCTCAGCTCCACTGTTTGTGGTTCAGTGGCTTTTTGATGAGGAACAGTTGCGTGTGGAAAACATTTACGTGGGCAGGCAGTCTCTTTCCGAGCAGCAGTGGACCTACATGCAGAATCTCGGGAAAGAACTGAAAAACTCCCTCAAAGATGTCACGTAAGTGCTGCACTCTCACAAAGCTACTCTGTGGTTCCTCATTTCACATTTACACGATAGAATACAATTTATAGAAGAAAATAGTTGCAGATAGAACATCTGATTAAAAAGTGTCAGTAATTATTATTAAGGAAGTAATTTCTAAACATTTACTAAACTAAGTGCTAAACTAAACATGTAGTTTAGTAAAGCTATAAGGTGGCTTCTACAGGAAAGTCTATGCTATAGATAAGCACCTCTCATCATGTGTTTTTTTTTTCAGTGCTGTGTTCGCCCCGTCCTGCCTGTCCCACACACTGATCACTAAAAGGTAAGGACACCGCAGCCACACACGGTGAGCTCATGCTGCTGTTTTTGACCGCACATCCATCATGTCGCATTCTGGATGTCACCAAAATGCCACCTCACACTTTCACACACCTAGCCAGTGGCCCCTCGCTGGGCGTAATGATAGCTCGGACCACCCGGGGTTTATGTGGGTCATAAAATGACCTCATGAATGTATTTGTATCTGTTACAAACACATTAAATGTAATTAATCAAGCAAGGAAAATGTTAGAGACTATATCCTATCCTAATGAAAATCCTTACATGGCCATGTTTTGATTGAGCACATGATGCTTGTACCTGTCTTCACCACTTCCTAATCTTATTTCAGTAACTGGATGGACTTCCAAGTGAAGGGCACATCTCTGTCTCGCGCTCTCCAGTGCTGGGACAGAAGCCTTCAGGAGGCCAACAAGAACAGCAAGACGGCACTGAAAGGCTGCCCTTTCCACCTGATCGACACATGCCAATACCCTCAGTGCAACCCGACGTGTCCGGCGCTGATTGACCAGGCCACCCAGCAGGAGATGACCCTGCTCCAGGTGCTGGCAAGCATGGGTGTGGACCTGCAGAAGCTCGGTCTGGACACACGGCGTGACGGCAGCGCTTCCTCCAGCATGATTAGCAACGGTGGCTAAGGAGTGATAGTTGAGTGATAGTAGAGTTTCCTCAGTGGCGACCCTTAGAGTCACTCTTTTGTGTTCCAAAGAGGTTGAGATCTTTGAGCCGTGAGTATGTATTTGGATTTCTGTGCCAAATGTGTGCAAGTAGGATGGACTTTTGGAAGTAAAGCATGAGTTATGATTATGTATCTAGTCACAGTTAATCCATAGTTAACCTGCAACTCGTGTATGTGGAGATTAGATTGAAGGGTCGTTTTTTTTATTTCACCCAAACTGCTTTATTCAAACAAGACGTCTTTGTACAGGAAACACCTTACTGCAAGATGAAAGAGAGCATGAGGTGACAATACCAGTCAATTCTAGAGATCTTTTCAGACTGGATTAATAGTATACACTCCTGGAAAGAAATCTAATCAGTACTCCATACTGTACCCAAGGTGCATGACATGTTCGGGTTGGTAGCCTGATAGTCAAACAGAAACGACATACCTAAAGGTTATCTATTTATTATCTTTTGGCTTAGTTGAGAAGAGTGTGATATCCTTTCAGTTATGAATATTTACTGGTATTAAATGCCATACAGTAAGATTATTTATATATTCATTTCACATTTTCTTGTATGAACTGAATATAAAGTAAAATATATTGCATTATCATGAATGTAAGAAATTATTCACATTAACTACAATTAATATTATTGATGTAAAGTTAAAAACTATACTGTAATAAAGCATGAAACATTACCAAATACCTGTAAGGCTTTGTGCAATACATTAAGACATCCTATATAAATTAAAAAGAATGTTGAATTAAAAATGACTGAATCCTAATTTATACAAACATGAACAAGGCCATAAACAAAACATTAACCTTGTATATTTTAAAAATTATTTATAGCTTATTTATAGCTGCTATAACATAACTGGTAACAGGAACTAACTTGCTTTGTGGACATTCCACAACATGAAATGTAACTAGAAATGAATAAAAGGTATGATGTTTCATTCTTTAATAAATAAAAATATGTAATTGTTGGCAAATTGTTGTGGTATAAAATGGAATAAAACATTTGTGCTGTTATTGGAAAATAATCAACTTCGCTGTGGTAACAGTGATTCCACTTCATCACCCCACGCCATCGCTGATTACTTTTCCTATACCAGCACGCCCTGAGTGTTTTATTCCCTACTTAGCCAACACATCGTACCCCTTACACATTTCTTAATTAAATATCTTAATTATCTTTATAACAAATCAGAAATATGGATATGTAATAGTGACTATAGAATTAAGTCTAATCTTCTTAGTTTGATAGTTTCTCAAATAAGAATTGATTTATCTTATAAAAAAAAAGGCACTTAAAGGAAGTTAAAGGAAGAGGAAGAGCCGGAGATCAGATATGACCTGATTAGAGATTAAATGATTATATTTGTGCTAATTATCCTGCAATTAATCTGTAAAAAGAAGCTCAGACGTTAGAGGTCTGTGCTATTGGTCTGAAGGTTGTGAATTTAAATCCCACAAGAGTCAATAACAGACCCATGAGTAATTTACGGAACCGTGAAATGTCTCACTGGTAAATTTCTTCAGAGCTCACAAATAAAGAAAATGTGATGTGAATCACAAGGTTACATTTGTGTAGTCATGTTGTGGCATACTCGGCTCTGTTCCTCGTAGGAGAGACGATCACCATTAATGTGGTTTAAAAAAAAAAAACCCTAAAAACGTTTTTTTTTTTTTTTGTCAGACTACTTTCTGTTCCTCGGAAATATGTTTTTCATATTCAGTTCCTTGTTCTCTGTGGGTAAAAAAGCTGAAAAACAAAACCTACCATTTTTTACAAAAAAAAATGATTTTACTCTTCTAATTCTAATTTGTGTTTCAAGTGTGTCATAATAATAATAATAATAATAATAATAATAATAATAATAATAATAATAATAATAAACTTTATTTAACATGCACCCCAAAGTGCTTTCCAGTGTGAAGCAAAAAGACAGAAAAACAAAAACAAAACATAGTAAAAAAAAAAAAAAAAAAAAAAAAAAAAAAAAAAAAAAAAAAAAAAAAAAAAAAAAAAAAAAAAAAAAAAAAAAAAAAAAAATAGAAACAATGGCAGATAATAACAA